ATATATATATATATTCGTATACTGCACTCTCTTATATGTTTGACATTAGCGAAAGAATTATGCGCGGTTTGCGACAATGGCATCATCCTTATCGCCTCTCTTTTATACCTTTGTCTATCACTGATATTTTTAATACTAAATGAGTTATGGCAATGCCGATTTATTAGGGTGTTTTAGCGTATTGAGTTGTTAAGATACTGTCAATAACTACTGTAGTCAACAAATGTGCTATAAACTGCAGTTTTAAAGAATTTTCATTTTCAAAACCTTTAGTTGGACACTTGCTAATCTTTAGGCATTTTGTTTTTTAATAGGTCTCGCTTCCGGGCCTTTTAAATAGTATATTCATTCTATTTTGCTTCCTTTACTAGAAAAAGCGTACTGTTCTTGATAGAATAAAGGTCGCGTAATAGGTTTTGCAAAAGTGCACAGTGCTCTAATAAATTTGTTTCCTACAATCTACGAAGAAACCTACACAAATTAATCTCGTTCTGCGGCAGTAAAATGAGACCTCCAACAGCGCTAAACATATAAAGTTATTTCAACTTGATAATTACCGTAATTTTTGCTTTTGTCATTTATGAATAATAGCATTTCAAAAATAATTTTTTTGCTGCTTTTTTATTTGTTCTACCAAAGATTGTTTTAAGTATTAATAACTGTTTCATTCAAGGAGTTACCGATACTGTCAACAGTCTTCCACTCTGCAGAGTTCTAACAATTCATTTTCTTTTTAAATTTATAGTAATGATAACCAATAGAGGAGATATTTTCCGAGTGGTGCGAACAACATCAAGGCTTGTCGAGCAGTAAGTCTTTTTACCGTTTGATAACGAACCGCAGTTCAGAATCACATTATTTCTATTTGCTTGATGCAGCTCTGGTTTCCCACTCCACTTTGACTGCTTATCCTTCAAATTGAACTTTTCGTTAAGAAATTGATCTAAATATTATCTTCATTCATCACGTAGTCTCTTTTACTGGCAAGCTTTTGATGTCAGCTTACTTCAATTTACTGCGAGCTTTTCCTCTTTTTTTTTCTTTCTTTTTTTACAGGGTAGTTCGTCAGCTAGCTTCCAAGTCGGACTTAGAAACTACTGGTGGACTCGATCTTTATGACACTCTCGATGATCTTCAAAATATGTCAGTTGAGGAATTGAAACTGTACAAGCTTTATCGCCCAGAACGGACAACACCTACACAACATTCAGTTGAGATACTGAAAACGCCCTCTTTAAATAAGGTTTGCTGACAGAATTTTTTTACACCATTAGTACTAAAGTCGACTCTTCTTATAAAAAGGTGTTCTATTTAGCTCTTTACTACTAGTTTAGTACATTTTCTTACCAAATTAAACCTGATTATCTTTTCCAGGGCATGGGTTTCAGTTTATATGAACGTCAGTACCTCGGCATTCATGGGCTTCTTCCTCCAGCATTTATGACACAAGAACAGCAGGCATACAGGGTTATGTGTAAGCTTCGAGAACAGCCAAACGATTTAGCTCGTTATGTACAACTATCCAGTCTGCAAGTAGCTTGTTTCAGCTTACATCTAGAGAATCGTTCCAATTGTAGTTATCTGTTTGCCAATGTGCTCAGATTTATCGCCCTGTTCAGGATCGAAATGAAAAGCTTTTTTACCGAGTTCTTTGTGACAATGTAAAGGAACTCATGCCAATTGTGTATACCCCGACAGTTGGCTTGGCCTGTCAGAACTTTGGATACATCTATCGTAGTCCCAAGTATGTTTGCCGTAAAGTAATTTAATGGCTATACTCTAAATAGAAATATCAAATCAGAATTATCTGTTCAGAACTCGATATTTAAGTTTAGCCTTCATGCTTACTGCGGGTAAGAAGCTCATTTTTACCATACCGTTTTCTACTTCTCCTAATTCCATTGTTTATAAGACTTTATTTAAGAGGGATATACGTCACTATCAATGATAACAGTATCAGCAAAATTCACCAGATTCTATGCAATTGGCCGGAAAAGGATGTCAGGGTAATTCACTCTTCTTTACTTCCAGTCTTCTGTTCGTTCGGAAATTACTCAATACTTTTACTGGCAGGCAATCGTTGTTACCGATGGAGAGCGCATTCTTGGCTTAGGAGATTTGGGTACTTATGGTATTGGGATTCCAGTGGGAAAATTAGCTTTGTATGTTGCGCTTGGTGGCGTTCAACCAAAGTGGTGCCTCCCTGTTCTTTTGGACGTCGGCACAGACAACGAAGTATGTTGGATTTCTTATGTGATTCGTTTTGCCCTTGAACAAAAGCCAATGCAGAAAATTTTAATCGTGTTTCTCTAAACGTTTTAGTCTTAGAGCTTTTAGGAACTCCTCAATGATCCGTTCTATATTGGCTTGAGACATAAACGCGTTCGTGGAGAGCATTACGATGAACTACTAGAGAACTTTATGAAAGCTTGCACAAAACGGTAATTTTTAAGCTTGCCCCACTGTTAGCGATACTGTCAATCACAAATTTTTAGATACGGCCAGAAAACTTTGATCCAGTTCGAAGACTTTGGCAACCAAAACGCATATCGGCTACTAAAAAGATTCCAGTACAAATACACAATGTTTAATGACGATATTCAAGGTGGGACGCCATTGAATAGTTTTTGCTTTCCAGTAGTTCTTTATAAGATTGAATGATTAATTTATTGAAAAGGTTTTCATCTGTACTTCATTGTTTTTGGAAGATCGAGTAAATGGGCACTGCAGAGTTCCAGATTACGCTTGTAGTTCGCTGTTCAGTTTAGGCAACTTTATTTATATAACTTTTGTTTCTTTAAGGTACAGCATCAGTTGTCGTGGCGGGTCTTATGGCTTGTTCCAGGGTGACAAAGAAGCCACTCTCTCAAGAGCGATTGGTCTTTTTTGGAGCTGGCGGGGTGACGCTACTTTTTATTTTAGAGCTATTAGCGGTTACTGAAGTTGTTCCTGATAACTAGCGTCACATTTTTGATCAATTAATTCTTTGTGCTCACAGGCAGCCACAGGGATAGCTGAAATGTGTGTTCGACAGATGCTTTTAGAAGGGCTAAGCGAACAGGAGGCTGCGGGTCAGATTTATATGATGGATATCGATGGGTTAATAACAAAAAGTAGAGCTAGCACTGCTCGCCACAGTATTTTTGCAAAAAATATGAGAGAAACAAGGAGCTTGATCAAGGTCTTAAGAACGCCTTTCATTGGATTTGTTTATTTTCGTTCCACAATACTTGGCAGTTTGTACACTCTTCGAATAACTTAGTGATTTAGGTTGTATAAACGGTGATAATTCTAATCTTAGGTGATTGAAAATGTAAAACCTGGTATTTTGATTGGTGCTTCAACAGCGCGGGGTGCATTTACCGAAGAAGTTATCCGTACAATGGCAGAGATTAATGAAAGACCAGTCATTTTTGCTTTGTCTAACCCAACGAGCAAATCAGAATGTACCGCCGAAGAAGCATTCCGATATACTGACGTAAGGGTTTTTGGATTTCCTTTCTAGAGCGCCTTTTGCTCATAGTTTCCTGCTTAAAATCCATATATTATAGGGCCGGGTCCTTTTTGCCAGTGGAAGTCCATTCCCTAATGTAGAACTGAATGGTAAGGTGTATGAGCCTGGTCAGGGTAACAACGCTTATATCTTTCCTGGAGTTGCTCTTGGTACTATTCTGTTCCAAGTCAGGCATATCGATAGCACTATCTTCCTTTTAGCTGCAAAAGTAATTTTTTGTTCTGTCTGTTGAACTGTTGCTTGAATGCATTAATTTCTCTATTTTAAATTTCTTTTAATTTCTATCATGGTTGGGTTTTAAAGTCATTTTTGCTACAGGAGGTTGCTTCTTATGTATCAGAAGAAGATCTAGCCGTTGGTCGCATTTATCCGCGTTTGCAGGATATTCGGGAGACATCTGTTCGTATAGCAATGGCAGTTGCGGACTACGCTTACAAAGTCGGTGGTCATTTAAACTTTAATTTTTCTAGTAAATAAGGTATTTCAGTTCGATAGATCGGTTTGAACTACAATATTTTTGCTCTAGGAAGGACTCGCTGGTTTGTACCCTAAGCCTGCTAACCTGGAGAAGTACATTCGTGCCCATCAATATAAAACTGAATACGATGATCTGATCAATGCAATCTACGACTGGCCAAGGGAGGACACTGCTGCTGGTTTTCCAATTCTCGGCGTAAGTAGTGATGACGATGGAGAAGTAGATATGACTACTTAATAAATTGCTTTATCTACTTTTTGCTGTACAGCTAATTTGGTCACCAATGAAAATATTTAACTTCCTACTTTCCATTTTTAATGACTTGTCTTTATATATATAATTTTTTGACATTTATAATTTTTGAGTTCTTTGTTCACTGTATTGTCAATAATGACTGAATAGTGCATATCTTCTTTCTGTTTATTTCATCATCATTTTATGAAGTTAACCGCTTACTGATTAAATATTGTGTCTCACCTTTTTTTTACGTCTTTTACTCTCCTGTCTATAAATATATGC